AACGATCTGGGGAGTCAGAAGGAGTCACGAATGTGCTGCCTAGCAGAGCACAAGCTAAGGAACCCCGTCACCGACGCACGAGCAGACATAGACCGCAAAAAGATGAAGACAGACCGAGAGCCGGCGAACGAGCTCTCGAAACTCTTATAGCAATTACAGATCGCAGAGAGCCGCGGAACATGCGCCGAGCCTGTATGTGATGCGGTGGACTCGGTGTGCATAGACGAGGCGCGTCCGGAGCGATGCGTCGAAATTGGAAAAAAAACTAGAAAAGCCTCTGAGAAGCGAACTCCTTTCCCTCCTCAAGGAGAACACCAACACTTTTTCCTGGACAGTGGAAGATATGCCAGGCATAAGCATCGACGTGACCTGTCACGAGCTGAATGTGGACCCGACCTTTAAACCAGTCAAGCAGAAAAGAAGGAAGCTCGGCCCCGAACGAGCTAAAGCAGTTAACGACAAAGTCCAGAGGTTACTCAAAGTAGGATCAATCACCGAGGCCAAATATCCGGACTGGCTCGCGAATCTGGTGGTTGTGAAGAAGAAGAACGGCAAGTGGCGGGTCTGTGTGGATTTCACTGATCTCAACAAGGCATGCCCAAAAGACAGCTTTCCCTTGCCACATATCGATCGGCTCGTCGAGGCCACTGCAGGAAATAGACTGTTAACATTTATGGGCGCGTTCTCTGGCTACAATCAGATCCTGATGCATCCTGATGATCGAGAAAAAACGACATTCATAACTGATCGCAGGATATACTGCTACAAAGTCATGCCGTTCGGGCTCAAGAATGCAGGAGCAACATATCAACGGCTTGTCAATAAAATGTTCGCGGCTCAGCTCGGAAAAACCATGGAAGTATACATCGACGACATGTTGGTCAAATCATTCAAGGAGGAAGACCACGTCGCGCATCTACGGGAATGCTTCGAGCGATTGAACAAGCACAACATGAAACTAAACCTGGCGAAGTGCAGATTTGCGGTCACCTCGGGAGAATTCCTCGGCTATCTGGTAACTCACCGAGGCATAGAAGCAAACCCCAAGCAGATCAAGACATTAATTGAGATGCCCTCTCCAAGGACGAAGCGCGAGGTGCAAAGGCTTACAGGAAAAGTCGCCGCGCTAAACAGGTTTATTTCCCGTTCCACTGATAAGTGCTTGCCTTTCTACGACACCCTCCGAGGAAACAAGAAATTCGAGTGGAACGAGCGGTGCGAAGCAGCTTTCCATGAGTTGAAGAATTATCTGGCAAGCCCACCGATCTTAGAAAAACCAGTCGAAGGAGAGCCGCTCTTCCTCTACATCGTTGTGTCTGCCACAGCTGTGAGCGGGGTGCTTATCAGAGAAGAACGATCCGAGCAAAAAATAATTTTCTACATCAACCAGACTCTGACCGATGCCGAGACCCGCTACCCCCAGATCGAGAAGGTCACCCTAGCCGTCGTGGTCTAGGCTCGCAAATTGCGCCCGTATTTTCAATCATATTCGATTATTGGGCTCGCTATACTTCTGCTGTGCTCGATCCTACACAGCCCAAGCCAATCCGGTCGGCTCGCTAAGTGGGCCATAGAGCTGAGCGAATACGACATCAAGTATCGGAACAGGTCGTCTGCAAAGTCACAGGTGCTCGCAGATTTTCTCATTGAACTTCCAGCCGAAACAACAAACGAGCCGACCCTAGATGAAGTATGGACGCTGCACGTCGACGGCTCGTCATCCAAACATGGCTCTGGAATAGGGATCCGCATCACCTCTCCCACAGGAGAAATACTGGAGCAGTCGTTTCGCCTAAGCTTCCACGCCTCGAACAACGAATCAGAATACGAAGCATTGATCGCCGGTATACGACTAGCGCAAGGAATCGGGGTTCAAAAGGTAAGGACCTTTTGTGATTCACAGCTCGTAGCATGCCAGTTCAATGGAGAATATGAGGTGGAGGACGGACGAATGGGAGCTTACCTCAAGGTGGTCCAAAAGTTGGTGCAAAAGTTCGACAAGTTCGAACTCACGCGAATTCCCCGAGGAGATAACACCTCGGCCGACGCCTTGGCAGCACTCGCTTCGACCTCAGACCCAGATCTCCGACAGATGATCCCAGTTGAATTCATCGAACGACCTATCATCGAAGAGGTAGAAGGAGTTCGGCTGATAAATCCTCCTGAACAAGAACCAGAGGACGACGAAGCCATTCCTATGGACGAAGACGCCTTACCAGCCGAGCCGGAGTACGGCTGCAACAAAGAATGGCTCGGGATTATCCGAGTGTATATCGCCGATGGAGAGGTGCCAACCGATAGATGGGAAGCCCGCAAATTAAAAGCTTAGGCCGCACGGTATGTCCTCGTTGATGGCGAGGTGATCAAATGGAGATTTTCAGGACCTCTCATGACATGCGTAGAAAGACCGGAAGCAAGAAAGATCATGCACGAAGTGCACAGCGGCGCGTGCGGGAACCATTCTAGCGGAAAGTCGCTCGCTATCAAGATAAAATGGCACGGTTACTTCTGGCCTACGATGGTCAAGGATTGCGAAAAATTTACGGCGAAGTGCGAGAAGTGTCAACGGCACGCTCCAACAATTCATCAACCTACCGAGTTGCTCTCGTCAATTTTGTCACCTTATCCGTTAATGAGATGGTCGATGGACATCGTCGGACCTCTACATCGCTCGAAGCAGAAGCGTTTTCTGCTCGTCCTCACGGATTACTTCTCAAAGTGGGCCGAGGCCGATTCATACGCAAGCATAAAGGATGTTCAAGTCGAACACTTCGTCTGGAAGAATATCATCTGCAGACACGGGGTCCCCTACGAGATAGTCACCGACAACGGATCCCAGTTCATCTCAACACGCTTTAAAGCCTTCTGTGAGAAGTGGAAAATTCGTCTAAGTAAATCTACACCAAGATACCCTCAAGGGAACGGGCAAGCCGAAGCGGCCAACAAGACGATCTTCGACGGTCTGAAAAAGAGGCTCGACGCCAAGAAAGGACGATGGACAGACGAACTCGAAGGAGTCCTTTGGTCTCATCGCACGACTCCGCGCCGAGCCACCGGGGAAACTCCATTGGCCTTGGTCTACGGAACAGAGTGCATAATTCCCCCCGAGGTGGATTTCCCAGGTATTCGACGAAGACTTCTACCAGGACAAGAGGGCTTGAACCACTTAATGATGTTAGATGAGCTCTACCTAATCAACGAAAAGCGCGACCAAGCCTTAATCCGAATCTAGAACTATCAACAAGCAACGGCGAGGTACTACAACAAAAATGTTCGTAGTCGAAGATTCAGAGAAGGGGAGCTCGTCCTCCGAAAGGTCTTCCAAAACACTGCCGAGAAGAACGCAGGAAAGCTCGGAGCAAATTGGGAAGGTCCTTACAAGGTGACAAAAGTGGTTCGTCCAGGAGTCTACGAACTCGCGACGCTAGCTGACGAAGCAATCCCAAGATCATGGAACGCAATGCATCTAAAGAAGTATTATCACTAAAGCTACAGCACGGTCAGCATGAATTACGGGATGGCTTGATCCCTGCAAAAGGTACATAGGCAGCCCGTCCTCGGACGGGTTCAGCTGTCCCCCCTCCTAAAAAAGGGGGAGTGGGTACGTATACACATACCTTCTTTTAACTCTAGAATTTTAGCTCGTTCACTTAGGAACATCGCCACTTCGGCCCATTTTCAGTTCGTTTTAAATCATCTATTTATTTCATGATCACCTCAGATTTCTAGTTCGTTCATTATCGCTTCGGCTAGTTTCTCATTCGTTTTAAATCAGCAACTTATTTTATCGAGCTCGGATTGTTAAATTCTTTCACTCATCACTTCGGCGAGTAATCATACCACCTTGACATGGTATCATGATCTGATTGCCTCGGACCTTTATTGGTCCTCAGTTTCAGTTCGGCAAACTAAGTCTCCGAATGCCTCGTCTCGTTGCTGGCCACAACGGGGCAACAAATACAAAGTTCTCTAAACGGACTTTTACCACCTTTCCTAGGACGAGGGTGGAAGTTACATCCTCTATGGATAAAAATTAAAGCGCGCTATACAAATATCAGACCAAAAATGTATCGGTCGCCACAGTTCGCTATCGCACACGAAATTATAAGTCGAGACTACATCGCTTTCTCTAGAACTGAAGTGAATTTTAGAACCCGGCAAAACACACTCATCCTCTTGGAAATGCCGGTCTATAGTCAAAATCAACGAGACTACCAAATCATCCTTTGTTAACAAAAAAAAAAACGCCTCGTCGTTCACACGGCTCGGCACCATGCAAAGAGAAAACGCCTCGTCGTTAAACACGGCTTGGCATTGCAAGCAGAAGTTGCCTTGATATTATCATTTAAAACTTTCCAGCGTCATCTAAAACAAAAGACACTCCGCAAAACTAACTCCCAGCTCGGGATTTAAAACTCAAACAAGATCCTGAAACAACTCACCCCTTACCCCGTATTTCTGTCGATTTCGAAGAGCTCGGCTAATGAAGCAATCGAGATCATTCTCAACACGATTCGATAAGCCAATCGATGACAATTCTTTCCAAAACAAACAGTTTTCGTAAACATTTTCATGGATCGATAGAGACAAATGAATCCAAAAACGGCAAAGGAAAAGATAACATAACCAAATGCAAAAGAAATAATAACTGTCAGGTGGATAAAGCCATCCAGGCACCGGTTACATAAAAAGTTCAAAAAACAGATAAAAATCCTAAGTACAGAAGCATGAGAGACAAAAATAGGAGAAAACGGAGAGGATCAGGCCGCGGACTGCGTTTCACGCTCGGCAAGGAGGTTCAAGAGGGCCGGCGTTCCCGCGTTCGATCCGGTCGGATCCACGACGCCCAGGTTGGCCGCTGTCTCCTCAAGCGGCTTGTTGCCAAGGCTGGTGTCCACCGAGTTCGGCGATACGGGCGAAAAAACCAGCTCGCCACGAATCTCGGAGGCGATGCGCTCGTACGCCTTGTCATCGGCGTATTCGCTCTCCCTGCTCTTCAGCTACGCCTCCTCGTCGTCGAGCGTTGGGGCGTCCGGTTTCTTCAGATCAGCGATCATCGCAAGGTTACCCTTGATTTGCCCCAGCTCGTTCTCGTCGGTTTTGGCCTTCTCGAGCTTGGCCAGACCCTCCTCTACTTTGGCGAGGCGTTCCTGAAACTTAGCAGTCAGCTCTCGCCTCGCCTCCTTCTTCGCGCGCTTGACCTTGGCTTCGAACAGGGCATCCTTGGCCTCGATTCGCCTTTTGAGCAACACCACCTCGGCGCTTTTGGCTCTCCTAGCCTCCTCTAGGCGAATCACCGAGGCGGAGACCTTGTCCACGTCGGCGCAGAGAACTATCTTCTCCTCTTCCAGCCTTGATACTCTAGACATCGCCTCGTCCAGCTTCCCCTTCGTCGCCGCGGTCTCGTTTCGAGCCTCGTCCAAGCGGCGTTCGACCTTAGACAGGTCCGCCTCGTATTCAGCCATCAAACTGCAGGGAACAACACGCGTTAAACACTTAGTAAAAATTTGCGAAAATAAAGGAAAGAAAATAGAACATACCTTGGTACCGCACTGTGCCATTGCGCCGTACGACCTCGGCCTCCTCAGCTTTTCCGGAAGAGGAAGACGCGTGTTCGCGTTATTAACGCGCACGAACACCACGGCAGAGTAATCGGGGTCGTCGACGACCAATTTGCGCGCAGCAGGGTCTCCGGGCGTTGGCTTCCGCCTCTTCTTGGACGGCTCGTCTTTTCGAACAGCAACGCCTTTCCCCTTGTCAGCGGCCTAACGTTTTCGGCTGGGGTCATGTTTCTACACAACCGAAGTCGGCGGCCTCGATGACTTCGGGAGGGCCAGAATGGCGGAGTTCGAAGGAGTTTTACTCCGCGCCGCCGAGTCATCCCTGGACGCCTCGGGAATAATTTCGCCCAGTTCCACCTCGGGCGCTGCATCTTTCTCGGCCGCCTCGGCAGTATTCGCCTCCGCGGCTTGGACCGTTTCGACTCCTTCCCGGCTCGGCGGATCGGGCTTAGGGATCGCCTTGATCTGCGCTTGAGCCGCCTCGGCAGCTCGTCTCGCGGCTTCTTCTTCTTCACGCCTCTTCTTATCTCTGAGAGTGATTATCACCATCTTCTCTCGGGTATCTCTTGAAGAACTGGAGGGTGAAGAACTGACAGGGACTCCGGCGAGGATAGCTTGGGCTTTTTCCACTCTCTCGAGGGTGAAATTTTTCCTCCAATTGACCTTCCGAGCCGAAAGAGAGTCTCGAACAACAAAGAGGTTGTCGGGAATTGGGGGGAGAATGCTCCGAACTGCAAAAAATTGCAAAAAGAAAACAAATTCAGTAAGGGAAGATAATCCACAAAAACAGTTCCGAGCCGAGGCAACGCTTCGGGTCGGCTACCAAGTGGTCCCCAAGCGGTCTTGGTTCTTTGAACGTAATCCTCGCCAACTGACGCCTCGTTCACCAAGACATAGAAAAAGCGCTCGGTCCAGAACTGGTCTTTGCTTGGAAAGCGCCTATAATCCGGCGGTTGGACTTGTTGGAAATGTAGAATCTATTTCCCTTCGGGGCTTTCCTGATTTCCAGCAAGTTCAGCAGGTGATTCAGTTCAATATCGACCCCGCATTCGAAGCTCCGAACCAAAATGCCGATCATGTGCCGCAGACTCCTCGGCATGATCTGCCCAATCGAGATCCCTTGTTTCCAGAGATATTCAAGGATCACTCCAGGGATCGGGAACCAGAGGATGCAGAGCTCGAAGAAAGCCTCGTACAGAGTGAAGTGATTCTCGGGAGGCTTGTCGGCTCGGTCGCTCTTCTTTGGAACGACAAACTCCACCGCCTTGGATATCCCAAAGCGATGCCTCGAGCGACTCAAGGGAGGAAAACGTAGAGCCAGGCGGGTCAGGCTTTTTTCTTTTAACTCGTGGCCCTCGCCCAGATGTGGAAGCACCTCGGGATGCCATGAGACGTTCTAACTCACGCTTCGCCTCAAATAGGTCAAAGGGAAAAGCCTCCTCCTCGGCTTTGACTGCGGCGCGATTGATATCTTCGTCAGGAACGGGATCCTGGGGATGGCTCGTCGAAACCGACGGCTCGTCATCTGGAGAGCCGTCGTCTGACGGATTTGCATGATTTGACGCCTCGTCAGATGAACGATTGGAAGGGCTCGGTGAAACAGACGCCTCGGAGGATTCTGTTGTACCTCTCGCCTCGGCATCTATGTGGCTCGGCTCATAATGAAAGAGTGAATCCAGCGAATCGTCGAAGCGGCTTTAATTTACGATTTATACAAGTATTACAGCACGACGCGGCGAACCTCCGCCGGAAAAAGATCTGGAACAGCGGAGACCTCAGAAACCCTAGCCGGAAAATAAATAAACTAGAGAGAGAAAGAAGAGAGAAGGGAGAGCTACCTTTAGTGAAAACGAGTGAGTCTGAAGATAATGAGGAAGAATGAAGGAGCTCACCTATTTATAGGAAAACCGAAGCGCGTGAGTTCCGTGTGAACCTCGGGAAACCATCCCACGGCGCGTGGGATCCGCAGCGTATTAACCAATTCGAACTGCGTCGGTTACACGCGCCAATAAATCAGGAACTTTCTTTCGGGAGACCAACGGTTGGGATACCTGAGTTCTCAGCCAACACCTCGTCGTTAACGAAACGGCTCGGCGATAACTTTCTCTTGAAACGCCTCGTCGTTAACGAAACACCTCACCTGGGTTTAAGTCGTAACAGCTTGACTCGATGGTTTCTCCTACAGTCAGGAGTAATGGACCTCGTCATTCTCGCCTCCGAAACTGACGAGCTGGGGGGCTAACTGTTGGGGTCGGTTTTCACCCCAAGCGGATAAAACCATCTCAAAATGACTAAGTATGGAAGAAAGACAAATTAGCCAAGCTGTGCTCACCAAGACAAGTGGGAGAGCCGTGGAGATAGACAAGTGGGAGAGCCGTGAATAAGGAAAGATGGGCCACGCCGTGCGAAGATGGGCCGAGCCGTGAAGAGGAACAAGTAGGCCGAGCCGCAGGAAGGATGTCCAGTGGGCCGAGCTGTGCAAAAAAGCAGGTGGACCGAGCTGCATAAAAAGGAGAATGGGCCGAGCCACTTCCTTCCACAATTGGGCCGAGCCAAGGCCTTGGAAGACGAAGCCCATAGAAACCCTAGGCGAAATATGAAGGCGGTGAGCCGCACGAGGCGATAAGGAAATATTCCGAAAATCTCTCCCGAGATTCTCGGCTAGGCGGTTTAGAGAATTAGTATAAATAGACGATGTACACAATTCATTCTGTAACTTTTGGCAACCCTAAGCAATAAGAGCAAAACACTTTCTCAGCAATAAAAACTTTCTTTTCGATCTTACTGTTCTTGCGATAAACTCTAGAAGTTTCCGATCCCTTAAGTTTTCCTTAACAAATTTTTGGTTGTGCGAGTTTTGGCTCACACATTCCTCTCATCCCTTTTTCTCTCTCGTCTCTTCTATATTATATACATAATTATATTTCACCTTATATACATATATACAAACACTCACCTATATCATATCTAATAATATCTAAAACGTTATCAGCACGAACCGTTCTTATACCATTCCTATACCGAAAAGGTGAGGTTTAATATATGTTCAATCCGCTTACTTTTATGTTTATATTTTATGGTCGGGATGATAGGCACTGCCTTCTCCGAACCGATTGTTATGGAGGCTATGCCTTTACGATCATGATCATATGGTAGACTATGTCCCCTCAGATCAAATATATGGTTGGTTTATGATCATATGGTAGTTGACTCCTCAGATCATTACCTCCATATAATAAATGTCCAGAAGACATTTAAGAAAAGTTCATGAAGAACTAAGAAAAACATACCATGTCCAGAAGACATACTTGAAAAAAAAAAATATATATGTCCAGAAGACATATGAAAAAGAATAGTTCCAGAAGAACTATATAAAAAATATATATCCAGAAGATATATAAAAGCGTTCCTAAAGAACTGCATAATTAATTTCGTCCAGAAGACGAATATTTATTTTAATTATTGTTCTTTAAATTCTGTTAATACTGTTATTTAATTTCTGTTTATTATTACTTTAAATTCAGTATTTTAAATTCAGTTTTTATTACGTTTATAAATTCTAAAATTTTATCATGTTTTATTAAAATCAGAATTTTTTAAAACTGGATTATGACCAAAGTTATAAATTGTTATATTGATAACAGTTATCATATCAAATTTGACAAAACTCGAGATTACTGCCCTTGATATTTCTGGAAGAAATTATATGAGATGGGCAGTAGCTGCAAGGATGCATTTAAAAGGAAATCAGCTCCTTGATACCATCGATAAAACGAAAACAACTCCTGAAGAGAAAAAGGCGAAAGCCATGATCTTTTTATTCCACCATATCCATGATGGTTTAAAAGATGAATATATCACGAAAGAAGATCCTGCAGATCTTTGGCAATGACTCCAAGATAGGTTTGATCACCAGAAATATGTGATCTTACCAAAGGCTAAACATGAGTGGTTGAACCTCCGGTTCCAGGACTATAAGAGCGTTAGTGAGTATAACTTAGCTCTATTTGGAATCACTTCCAAGATAATGTTATGTGGTGAACAGATAAGTGATCATGATATGATTGAGAAAACTCTCTCAACATTTCATCCTGGAAACGTAGTCCTGCAGCAACAATACCGGGCAAACGGATACAAGAAGTATTCGGAGTTAATGCAAGTTCTCTTGGTGGCAGAACAAAATAATGAACTCGTGATTTTAAACCATCATACTCGTCCAACTGGATCAGCTCCATTCCCAGAAGTGAATGTTGCATCATCAAGCCATGAAAATTGGCAAAGTGGACATGGACGCGGTCGAGGAAATGATCGTGGTCGTGGACGAGGTTTTGGACGTGGTCGAGGTCGTGGACGAGGAAGAAGATTCCGTCCTGCTGATTTAAACGATGGAAGAAATAACAAAAAGTTCAAAGATAATGAAGTTGGTCGCAAGCAACATGAGAGTGCTTGCTACAGATGCAGCATGAAAGGACATTGGGTTCGTACCTGTCGTACGCCAAAACATTTAGCCGATCTGTACCGAGAATCGCAAAAGGCGAAAGGAAAAGAAAGTGAAACCAACTTCATCCATGGTGAATCTAGTTTTTCTTTCGATGGTATAAACGATGATACAAATCTCGATATATCTGATTTCATCGTTGATCCCGAAGATATCAACGAAAAACAAAACGAGTAAAATCTTCCCGAAGAAGAAGATGTGACATGATGTATACATAGTGTGAAAAATAAAAATGTTTAAAATGTATCTTTTGTTGTAAAAAGGTTTTTATTATAATATAAACTCTTTTGTTTTGCTATATTAATTTATCTTTTATGAATATCTTGAATTCAGAAAAATGTCAAAGATTAAGATCGAGGATGGAGATATATGTCTGGCAGACAGTGCGACAACGCACACAATATTAAAAGATAAAAAGTATTTCTCCTCTCTTAATATGAAAGATTCCGCTGGAAGCGTGAATACAATATCTGGTAATGCAAAAATTATTATGGGCTCCGGAAGAGTCAGTTTTTCAATGCCAAGGGGAACAAAGTTTGAAATAAATGATGCGTTATATTCCCCCGGATCTTACAGAAATTTGTTAAGTTTCAAAGATATCCGCAGAAATGGATATCACATAGAAACTATGAATAAGAACGGCATTGAATATCTTTGCATTACATCAGTTATTTCAGAGAGAAAAGTTGTACTGGAAGTATTACCAGCATTATCCTCCGGAATATATTCCAAAAAGATAAATATGACTGAAACATATGTTACAGTAAACCCGAAGTTTACTAGTACATTCCAAATCTGGCATGAACGATTAGGGCATCCTGGTTCAGTCATGATACGGAGAATTTTGGAAAATTCTAATGGCCATCCGTTGAAAAACCAGAAGATTTTTCAATCGGGAGAATTTATGTGTAATGCTTGTTCTCAAGGAAAACTTATAACTCGGCCATCACCAGGTAAAATCGGGAATGAATCTCCAGTATTCCTAGAGAGAATACATGGTGATATATGTGGGCCTATTCACCCACCATGCGGGCCATTTCGATATTTTATGGTATTAATTGACGCATCCAGTAGATGGTCACATGTGTGTTTATTGACAACACGTAATACGGCCTTCGCAAGATTCATTGCCCAAATAATCAAGTTGAGAGCACAGTTCCCTGATTATACGATAAAGAAAGTGAGACTTGATAACGCTGGTGAATTCACTTCCCAAACTTTTAATGATTATTGTATGTCATTGGGAATTGATGTTGAACATCTTGTTGCACATGTTCACACACAAAATGGCATGGCTGAGTCATTGATTAAACGGTTACAACTCATTGCTAGACCGTTAATATTGAGAACAAAGCTCCCAATTTCAGTATGGGGTCATGCTATCTTGCATACAGCGGCATTGCTTCAGATAAGACCGAGTTCTTCTAATAAATATTCCCCAATACAATTAGCATCTGGCCAGGAGCCAAATGTATCCCACCTGCGTGTGTTCGGGTGTGCGGTTTATGTTCCGATAGCCCCGCCACAAAGATTAAAAATGGGGCCGAAAAGAAGATTGGGAATATATATCGGTTATATGTCACCGAGTATAATTAGGTATCTTGAACCGCAAACTGGTGATATGCTTACGGCACGTTTTTCCGATTGCCATTTTAATGAAGATGAATTTCCAGCGTTAGGGGGAGAATTAAAGAAGTTCCAAAAGATGTTACATGGTGCACACCATCTTTGTTGCACCTTGATCCCCCTACGAAACAACGTGAACTCGAAGTTCAGAAAATTGTTCATTTACAAAATATGGCAAATGAAATACCAGATGCGTTCACAGATATGAAAAGGGTGACAAAGTCATATATACCCGCTGCAAATGTTCCATCGAGAATTAACGTTCCGGAAGAACAAAATGATGGAAAAATAGCGAATGAACCCAAAGTTCAGTTGAAGAGGGGGAGGCCAATTGGCTCAAAGGATAAAAATCCCCGAAAGAAAAAGAAATTGGGAAAACAAAATGAAAATGGTCCAGAAGAACCACATACAGAGAAATGTCCTGAAGACGAAAATGACGAAGAAAATCATGAGATTTCCATCAATTACGCCCAAGATGGGATATTATGGGCTAGAGATAAAATAGAAGATAATGATGGAATATTCTCATTTTCTGTATGCAAAGAAATTGAATATGAAATTGATGATCCAGATCCAAGGTCCATATTGGAATGCCAGAAAATATCTGATTGGGAGAAATGGAAAATGGCCATAGAAACTGAATTGATCTCCCTTAATAAAAAGAAAGTTTTTGGACCTATTGTCACAACACCTAAAGATGTACAACCGGTTGGGTACAAATGGGTTTTTGTGAGAAAAAGAAATGAGAAAAATGAGGTGACAAGATATAAAGCCCGACTTGTTGCCCAAGGATTTTCTCAAAGACCGGGAATTGATTATGAAGAAACTTATTCTCCGGTTATGGATGCAATTACCTTTAGATTCTTAATGAGTCTTGCGGCATCCAAAAATCTTGAAATGTACCTTATGGATGTTGTGACAGCATATTTATACGGATCACTTGATAATGATATTTATATGAAAATCCCAGAAGGATTGAAAATGCATGAAGCATTAAGTTCCAAATCGAAAGAAATATGTTCGGTCAAATTACAGCGATCACTTTACGGATTAAAACAATCCGGACGCATGTGTATAATCACTTAAGCCAATATTTGATAAAGAAAGGGTATGTGAATAATGCAATCTGCCCTTGCATCTTTATTAAGAAATCTTTGTCAGGATTCGTGATCATTGCTGTTTATGTGGATGACCTGAACATTATCGGAACTCAAAAAGAGATTGATGATGCAAGAACTCATATGAAAGAAGAGTTCGAAATGAAAGATCTCGGAAAGACAAAATTTTGTCTTGGATTACAAATAGAGCATTTCCGAGATGGAGTATTCGTACATCAATCAAATTATACTAAAAGGATATTAAAACGCTTTTGTATGGATAAAGCGACTCCTTTGAGTACTCCAATGGTTAATCGATCTCTCGATACGGAAAAAGATCCGTTTCGACCTTGTGAAGATAACGAAGAAATATTAGGTCCTGAAGTACCTTATATGAGCGCTATTGGTGGACTTATGTATCTTGCTAATTGTACCCGACTGGATATAGCATTTGCTACAAATTTACTGGCAAGATATAGTTCTTCCCCTACGCGCAGACATTGGAATGGAATAAAACATATATTCCGTTATCTTCAAGGAACAATTGACTTGGGATTGTTTTACCCTAGAAACTCCAAACTTGGTTTAGTCGGTTTTGCAGATGCAGGTTATTTATCAGATCCTCATAAAGCTAGATCGCAAACCGGATATGTTTTCACTTTTGGAGGAACTGCAATCTCTTGGCGTTCTCAAAAGCAGACATTAGTCACCACTTCTTCAAATTATGCAGAAACTATTGCGCTTCATGAAGCATGTAGAAAATGTGTATGGCTTAGATCTATGACTTATCATATACAAGAAGCAAGCGGAATAGTCATCAACAAAGAGTCGACAAAATTGTTCGAAGATAATGCTGCATGTGTCGCTCAACTAAAAGAAGACTACATTAAGAGTGACAGAACAAAACATATTCCTCTAAGATTTTTCTCTTACACCCAAGAGCTCGAGAAAAATCAAGAAGTCGATATCCAGTATGTTCGTTCAAGTGACAATGCGGCGGACCTCTTTACAAAGGCGCTTCCTACTACAGTATACAGAAAGCATATTCAAAGTATCGGAATGCGTCATTTGCGAGATTTATAAAGAGAACATTATATCCATCATTCCAGGGGGAGATTACGTTACTGTACTCTTTTTTCCTCGTCATGGTTTTTATCTCATTGGGTTTTTCCATGATAAGGTTTTTAACGAGGCAGTACACAATCTATAAACATTGATGGATAATTAAGGGAGAGTGTTAAAAAAGTGGATAATTATCCACACTAATATTTTATTATTTTAGTTTTACTTGTTGTAAAAGTTTCTTTCACCGCCTCAAATTCACCGACTTAGCCATTTGTATACTTTGGCTATAAATATGTTGTCTCACCCTTTATAATTGTGATGGTAAAAGATGTAGTAATAATAGAAAGATAAATCACTTCCTCTCATCCCTTTTTCTCTCTCGTCTCTTCTATATTATATACATAATTATATTTCACCTTATATACATATACAAACACTCACCTATATCATATCATATAATATCTAAAAAATATAAGTATGAAATAAAAGAAACTTGAAACGTTTTTTTTATTGTTTTGAGAAATTTGAAACTTAAATTAAAAAGTCAAAAATGTTGTAAAAAGAAAGAAGTAATGGCCAAACATTCGAACAACCTCTTTGACTTTGTAACAAGTTAAAACACATCTTCCCGTTGGTATTCTTCACTTGGTGAGTTGATGGGATCATCCACCGATTCAATTCAGATCCGAGTAAGTTTGGTCACCGGTATATAAAGCTTAGATAAAATGTTTTTAACAAAAACCTTAGGGTGACCAAATTTCTTTTGGATATAAGCGTCTTTTTGTAATTCTTTTCCATGAATATTTGTTATATTTTTTGAAAAGGTAAATTTCTCCATGAAAATCATCACTTCCTTTTACAACTACGAAAGATTTCTCATCCTTTCATTTATATAATGTATGCAATATTTTTGTTTTCTTTATTTCTAACATGTACTTTAGCTTTCATATTTCAGAATTTTTTACCCTAACAATTAACATGATGCATATTCATAAGCAGTGATGGATCTAGAATTTACTTAATTTTATCTGAGGCAAAACTTAATCTATTATTAGTTAAAAAATATATATTTATTTATTAAATACATAATTACATTTATTACTGTACCTCAAATTTATACCATTAAATTGAAAATTAATCTCATTAAAAATTTAGATGTGATACTAAAATTAATGACTCAATTAATTTTTACATTATGAAATAAAAAATTACTTTTTATTTACAGAAAATAGAAAAAATTAACACTAAATTAAAAGATTTAATTAATTCACACATTTTTTATAATTATTATTTTTCATCCTGACGAATAGGAATAAAAACTGGAAAAAGAAGAAAAAAATAGAGAAAAAGACAACGATAAAAAAATAAGAAAAATAATAGGAAAAAAAA